GCAACATGAGAAAGTGCAAGTTATGGTGCTAGAGTAGATGATGAAATTGGTGGAAATACGAAAACTAATGAGTTTTGGGCTTCTGCCGTTTCTACAATGCAAGAAGGAAAATTACCTCGAAAAGCGTTATTGAGGACTGCAGCTACAATACGAGATAGAACAGGTTGGGAGGATCCTGTTGAGTCTCTTTCAGTTCATGCATATATTGCTAAGAGCCAACATGAAGCTTTGATGGAAGAAAAGAGACGAGGAAATTTTGATGATACGAGAGAAGGAAATTCTTCTAAGAGGCAAACTCAAGGAGACAAGGCTCGGGAGGCAGCTTCACAAGAATCGCCTGTAAAGGATACCTCAGCATCATTGGAAGAAAAAACAAAGGAGACAAAAGATAAGGGCAAATCAATTGCTTATAAGCTACTTTCTGACATTGAAGCGGCAACAAATTTGAAAGGGGTGTTGGAAGAACGTATATTAAACGCAAAGGTGGAATTCACATTGAAAGAAGTCTTGGAAATTGCAAAGAAGGAGTTTCATGATGTTATCATTGACAGCATTAAGCGAAAGAGGTAATTAATGGATGAAACTGGAATGAGTCATGCTATTGATGCAAGAATATATAAAGAAGAAGAAGAGGTTGATATTGGTTACAAGCAACCAACAAATGAAAAGAATGGGTATAATCAACGAGTACGTTTCGAAGATTATAGTGACATGGAAATAGAAACCTTGAGCCATTATACTCGAAAGCATTGAGCAAGGGCAACTACTGAGGTATTGGTGAAAGTAGGAGATATAGATGAACCAATTGTTGCTTTAGTCGACCATGGTTCTGAAATAAATCTCATGTCTAAAGATCTTTATAAGAAGCAAAAATGGCCAATTGATATGGAACATGGATGGGCAATACGAGCAGCTAATAACACATGGGGCAAATTATATGGAGCTTGTCCAGATATCAAAATTTGGATTGGGGATGTTGCGACGGAGCAACATTTCTTTGTTCAAGATACAACGTCTTATCCGTTGATTTTAGGACAACGTTATATTACGGCAACATGGATGGAAACAAAAGTACTTGACAATGGTTCTGCTTATGCAAGGGTACGTAGCGAAGATGGGAGGAAAGCTGTACAATTTCTAACAATACCTCCTAACCATGAACGGAATCGAGATAGATTGAGGGAGAAACCATTGCCAAAGATTGTTGAAGGATTTAAGGATTTTGGGGAGTTACGACTGTAAAGCGAGATTATGGAGGTACAAAAGAGGAGGTACTCTCGCGAGATGAAGGTGCCTTTGATGCGAGTTTTTATTGGTATTTTGGAGAATGGAAATATTATGTATAAGAAAGTTGATGATTTTAAAAGAAAAGAAAGAAAAAGATTATATGATATTGAAGGAGGATTACGCAAGTTAATTATGTAGCAAGAAGATGAAAGTGATTTGGATAATGAAGGTGACAAAGACGAACTGGACAAAGACGTAGAGAATATATTCTAAATCAAATAGCAATTGGATAAATTGGTGCATATCGGAGGATGCACAGGTTCAGAGGGGGTGGATGTCGTGTTGTAACACGAGTATACCGTGAAAATATAAAGAAAGGGGACTTTTATTAATATTCAGTTACCTCGAATATTGGGAGCAACGACCAATTCTAGTGCAAATACTGAGTGGCCAAGTTCAGTCACCCCGTTACAGTCAACCGGGGCATACTGAAATGCTCCGTTCGATTCCAATAACGGGAGTCACCATGAAGAGAAAGGACCAATTCACACGACGGGTGAGCCTGGTTCGAAGAGCCAATTGGATCCAATTTCAAGACATCCAATCCAGGTCCTCTTACCCAATATGAGACCTGAATTGGTCGAGCAACCGAATGCAGTCTAATTACTGGAAAATCCAAGTCTTACTACGAGCCTCAGCCAATCTGACGCGAAGGACCAATTTGATCCAATTACGGGAACATTCGGGTCTTACTACTGGACTCTTAGCCAATATGAAACTTGAATTGGTCGGGCGACTCAATGTGGTCCCGATTATGGGGTTTCGATTCTGTTTCAGGTTGTCCTGTTCTCTGTGTCGTTTCAGGGAACGTTGTTTTCGGTAAAAGGATCTCTTAAAGGTAAAAATGGAGGAAAAAGCTTTGACGACGAGAGCCAATTTCGGATCCAAGCTCTGATGGCGGGAGCCAATTCCGGATCCAAGACGGAAGATTGAAGAAATTCAGAATTAAGGTTAAGAAATGAGAGAAGGGAGGGAATAAGTTTTTTTTTGGGGAGTTTTTGAAGGATCGGGAGAGCTAGCTTCATGCTTTGGGCGGGGAAAGAAGAGAGAGAATTGGGTTTTTTTTCTTCATAGGATTTTGGGAAGATTGAGGCAATCGTTGCTGAAGTCAGTGTTGTAATGGTGAATCGGGATTTTTAATGAAGTGGGTTTGATTACTCTTGACTGTTTTGTGGAATCGAGTTACGTCTGTGATGAAGAATTAAAAGGGTGTCTATAGGATTGAGTATGCAGAGTGAATGAAATTTATTGAGTTAATCTAACGAGACGGTCAGTGGATACAAGATCGTGAGTATAAAGCGGTATCGAAGATTAGCAGTTTGGGTTGTTCGGGGTTCTCTGTAACGTCTAGAGACCTACCGGCTAGGGCAAAAAGGACTTCGGCGAGCAGTCGAAGGACATCCGTATAGATTTACGGTGTATTCTTGCAGTTGTTTATATTTCAACAGTCAAAAACTGATAGACTGTTTGAATATTAGCGAATCTCCATACTACCTTCTACAGCCAAACGTCCGGTGCGTTCTTGAGCAGGAAAGCACGTAATACGACAGCGTTAGCATTATTTGCTTTGAAGTATAGCATCTCATTTTTATACATCAAGGTGTGTAAAATGGTGCCTTGCATTATATCCATACTATAGGTATTTAATAACTACTTGATAAGGTACTTCTGCATTACTTAAGAATAGACCTTTTTATCGCATTAAAGTATAATATGTATGGAGCCAATGAACTTGGCTTGTGTGGGCTTTTGGAATATACATGTGCACATCAAATGAGAAACAAAAGATTATTAAAAAAATTAAATTGAACTAAAATAAAAGTGGATTTGCTAAATGCATCTTTTATATAAAAGACACCATTGCTTATCTATTTACCACCTTTTGCACTCTTTTGCCTATTGCTACACGTCTCTTATCTTCTTTTCCCCTAATTTCTTTTTTATTAGTATTAATATTTTATCAATAAAAATTTTGGCTTAGTTTTAAAATAATTGATTTTGAAAGGTTTTATTGTAATATTTTCTTTAAAATAGATCTTTAATTATATATAATATTTCAATATATTTCATTATTAATTTTGATTATTAATTTTTTTTAATAAAATATTAAATAAATAAATAAATAAATAAATATTTTTATGATAATGCCAAATTCTAACTAAAAGGGATATTTTTTATATAAAAGAATAATTTTATAAATTTTTATACAATAGAATATACAAATTCATTTTTTTAATAATTTTATTAATAAATTTTTTTAAATATTAAAATTAGCAATATTATACTTTCTTTTCTAATCTAAATCTCTTTTATAAGTTAGTTTAATCAATAAGATAGTAAATTAAAAATATTTTTTTATAATCAATCCTAAAATTGTTGAAACTTCTTTAAAAGAAGTAAAATAAATTAAATAATTAAGAGTTGATTAATGTATGATTATATAGATTTTTTAATTCTATTTTAAGTCTATCATATAAAACATTATATTACTAAAGCTCTATTGAAGTTTTTAAAGAATTTTATATAGATTGAATATACATGAATATTACATCAAGTTTTGATTTATTTAGAATAATTAGAGATCAACTAAATAGGGCTATGTAGTTACTTAGAAGCATGCATTGTAGGTTGGATCTACAATAAAGACCTAAAAGTAAGGTCCAAAACTTATAAAAAAATTGTTTTAATAATACATATATATATTCTTATAAGTTTTTAATATTTAATAATTTAATACAATAAAAAAGGAGTGCAATTAAATATTTATTTTTTTGTAAATAAAGAATTGATTGAAAATTACAATGTAGTATAATTTATTTATAAATGTCTAGTATTGAAGACTTATAATACTGAAAGTAGTTTTTAAAAAAAACATTTGTATCTTAAATCAATATTAATTATAAAATAAGATTTTAAATTGAAGATTTTTAAAAGATGTATATGTTCAAAATACATAAATCTTATGTGATATTTAAGTACAATTAAATCTATTTTTAATTTAGAAAAAAATACCTAAATTTTGACATGAAATATTTAAAGCATATTTAGTATACATATCTTATACTTCAACACTTACAAAAGACACAAGAAAGATAAAAACCTTTGTTAAATTAGAGTTGAATATAATCAAATAATAGTATCAATAATTAAAATCAATGTCTATATTTTTTTAATTAGAATTATACTAAATCTTTCATTGGTCTTTAGATTGTTACCATTATTCTACAATTTGGGAATATTCTTGATTTCCAAAAATTAAACATCTACAATATCTTGAAAATTTGTTGCATTTTTGTTTCAGTTGTATTGATTTTATCCTTGTTTCAGAAAACTATCTTTTCAAGATTAATTCATGTTTCGAAATCTGTCCATTAGTAGTCACTTGTAGAAGCAATCAAAAATCATGTAGATTTGCTGTAGAGCACGTAGAAAAACTTCGGATGGCCTTATCCTACAAGTTGCTAGAATCTAGTCGAGGATTGAGTGACCACATTGAAACTACATGAAGATGTTCAAAAATTGAGTAGCTGCTTATACAAGTTGGGTAAAAATTCAAAACAATATGGATATTTAAGCTACTTAAGGTAAGATTCTATCCAACAAACTGTTCCGAAGTGGTTACTACCGCCGTACGAGGCTTATGTAAGGTGAAAAAATAGATTCTGAAGTTGAAGGTTTTGCAACTTGATAGTAAAGAGGACATGGTCGTCAGATAGGTATTTAATCACAATGGTCTGGGCACTTGAGCTAGTAATATTGACAAAAAAGAAATTCAGAAGATAGTTCAGCAGCTACAAAATGAGATTCGCCATTCTGATTTGACTAAATTACTCACTACTGTTGTCGATCCTCATAAAATTTCTACAGTGAAATGTTATGGTTCCGTCTAAATTGCGAGCCAATCTCTTCGTGATTACTCGCAAACAAGATCATGTACTTGTGTGCTCGAGTCCCCACAGCGCAAGGGAACACCCCCCACTAATCAGGACAATACTTCTCTCCTTGTTTCATATTGCTAACATTCGAAGCAACAAAGAAAATAATAATTTCTTGCAATTGTCTCCTTTAATGGTGCAGGTTAGACAAGTTGTACAACAGCTGCCACTCGAAGAGAGCCACCCTGCAGAACGTCTGGTAGTTCATCAAATAAGAAAGCTGTTCGCCAGCCCCACCCTTTGGGTGCCTTGGGTAACAACGTACCAGCCTGAGTAAGGCTTCCAAGTGAAATCACGCCTCGCTTGGCTGGACATTTCAGCTGCAAGGTGGGGGAGAGGGAAATGGAAACCACATGTTACACTGCATTTTCCTTAGTGCTACACATAAATATGCATTTTGTATCATGGTCCAAAAAATACACTACTTTCATGCTACATATATAAATGCATGGTATGCATGACATCAATTGCTCCAAATGAAAATCCGTAAACAGAGACTGCGATTGTGAATACCACAGCCTTTCGTCTACTTCTAAAAAAACTGGTAATTTAAGAACTATTCAAACCAATTGTGATCGAAAATATACTTACTTGGTAGCGAGCTGTCACCTTTTCTCTGGTGTCAGTGTAGAACGAAACCTACAATAAATATTCGCAGTCAGAGACAATGCGTGGAACAAATGTGGGAAATAACAAGCAGCAAAGGCACACTAGGGGAGCGGACGGTCATCGTTGACGAGAGAAAACATCACCCACTTGCTTTTTACTGGAATATACACAATAATTAATCCATGCAACCTCTCAACAATGCATTTCTAACATACATGACAATTTCTGGTGACATTTTAGGACCTTAATTGTACAATAATAACTTATCAACCAAAGCACAAAAGCAAAAATTTCAGATGTAATCCTCATGTTTGGTAGAACTAAAAGTACTGAAAAATTCAAAAACCAAAGTACTTCATTTACTTATCTGTTTAAACCCTACCTTTCTATGAGGACCCATGTCCTCTGCTTTGCGCCTATGCAAGAAAAGACCTGCAATTCCGATTATTACTCACTTGCGAACCGTTGGCAGCAATAATCAAATCTAATCTTTACCAACATCATTGTACAAAAACACTTGATGATCTGAACATTCAGAAATCATGATTACCAAGTGTGCGCCTCCCCCTCGGATCTTCGTCATTGAAGGCTTGCACACTAATCTGATCCACACAAAGATTACCAGGATATTAATTCTAGATTTTAAAGCATTGAAGCATATTCAAGCATCAATTCTCAAAGAGATACTTGTCCATCAATCATCACCAAACTATATTGGCTTAGTCAGAATTGGCTTAGGCACTGCTAGTGAATGATTAAGAAATCAATTATGGTACAGAAACCATTTATTTCAACATTGAACACACAAACTTAAGAAACTTTCTGGTGCTTACCTTCCACAAAGAACCAGCATAAAAAGCTTCTGTCGAATGCTTAGACTGGCCGTCTTGAAGGCGATTAACATCTTCAAATTCAACCCTGCAAAAGGTTTATAAATCAGAAGGTCATATTGGTTACGACGCATACTGAGTATGATCTTCCCACAACAAAATATCTACCAACAGCGAGCTATTTGAAAGCATCATTTGCAAGTTTCAACACCTTACCCAAACCGGAATGGAGGAAAGCTTCGCAAAGGTGTGTTCAAATCCAACAATATTGATCCTCCTTCACCTGCTTCCCATTTCCTTGTAGCAAGAGCTTTGTTCGTGTCCATGTTGTTCAGCATCGCATCAATATCTGCAGGCTTTGATGCAGCTGGTGAATCTTCAGCCCTTGAGGTGGGATCTGGTTGACCTTGACCTAGAACACTAGCTGAAGCAGTGCTTCCTTGAGTACGACCATCAAGTGTACTATGCGCACCGGGAGGTAACTCACGTCCAACAAGATCAAGCCTTGGATCGATTTGATTATTTCCAACTCCACTCTGCAGGGGGTTTCCTCTTGCACCATACGCCCCTAAGGAAGGAATGTAGAGAAATCTAGGAGCTGGCCAACTGCCAGGAGGTCCAAAAGTTGTCCCTCGACCAATACCTGCTAAACCATCCATTGTGTTGCGAACATGGACTCGACCAGCAGACTGGGAGTTTGCACCAACTCCGCTACCTGAGTTGCCACCGATTCTCTCTGCCCCAGGAAAAATTCCAGTGGGTACAGGGCCCGCACTTTGGCCGTCGTCTCTATGGTGTAGACTTGGTGTTCTCCCATGAGCATAACTTGAGCCGACTTGACGACAACTGCAATTTCCATACACAAGACTACAATTCCTACAAGTGTCGGCAGCGATGGTCAAAACTTGTTGCCGTAAAAGTGTCTGCAATAACCGGCATTGACAAGAAAAAATGAGAACAAGAGCAGAGAATCAACAGGTTCAACCACAAATTTACCAAACCGACAGGTTAATCCTCATTGGAGATGCAGAGAATCTAGTTTCGGTTACAACTCCCATCAAATATTTTGAGTCTCCGTTTAGTTCTTGTTCTACTAACTAGAACAAGAACCCTCGTAGTGCAAAGATACGAACGCAAGGATGTGCGATATATCACATGAAAAGGACACTAAATGTTTTTAGCAGCACAAGGGTGTGTAAAAAGGTGCTATATCTGATCATAAGTATAGTACCTGTAACCACAAGCTATCAGCAACTGCTTTGCATGGAAAACCAAGCTCTTCCAGGCGCCCTCGCATGTAGAGCAAATCATCAAACGCCATATGACAATAGAGGACACCTCCACCTTCGAATACTCCTAGGAAAGCCTCCCAGTCTTCTGCTGAGCCCCAATTTCCACTATTGGGAAAAGCTTTTTTCACTCTACTCTCCACCACTCGCCCACCCCATGAGAATATCGGGCATGCATTATCCCTGGTGCACAAGAGCATATTTTATTAGGGACAAACATAAAAAGGTTACTACGGAATCAAAAAAACTCTATGAAGACATGTGCCCGAGACTTAACGCTGAATCATGATATAGTATAAGTAGCTTCTAAAAAGATCAATCCTTTGCTTGATCGATAACGACGAGCAATCAAACGCATTAGCTTCATTTCTGTGAGCGAAAACATCAGGAAGAAACCTGGACAAACAGCTCATATGATTCTAAAAGCAGGATTGGAGACGAGCCAGTACCTTGGCCACTGATCCTCAATTACTTTACTACTAGGGGAGGACGAAGTCGTCTCCGGTGATGGTGAGCAAGGACCAAGACCAACCTGTTCACCAGTTCGAGGAGGATGCCAAGGTTCTTCGTAGCAGAACCGCCCACAAAACCCCGGCTCAATACCAGAGAAACTCAATTGATCCGGAGTAGCACATGTATCCCCACTAGTGCAAGCTTCTCCATCTTTGCGTATCTCAATAAAAGGTTGTGCTGGATCTACCTCCTTCAAAGGTTTCCCGTTCAAAGCCCCCAAACCATGGTCGTACATGCACACTGACGCTCCTTCACGTTGATCACCTCGTATGGAGTTAGTAGAACTCTGTTGGGAAAATGCGGCAGACAAAATAGGAACAGCTGAGTCGACAAGTTCAAACAAAATGTCGCGCACACTTTCTGTGACTTGAGCCGTTGCCGGAACTGGTGCATCCTCCAGCGACAGATGACCCTCCACTTCACTTGATGTCGACCTAACCTCAAATTCGAACTGGTATCAATAAACGTGCTCTTATAACCCGATGCGAGTTGAAACATGCAAAATCTATGAAAACCGCTTCTGTCAAAAACAAGAAAAAGGAAAAGAATAAATCTTTGAATAGGAACACAATGATAAGCTCACCTAGAAGTGACTTTGTCAAGAGTGGTTTCGAGTTTCCGATCCTTATCAGCAGAGCACGCACAGAAAATTAAATCCTCTGGTGCAAGGTTCCCTGTCATAGGGGAACCTATAAAATCAGTGTTTGGCACCTGTGGCATCTCGAGCACCACACCGCGAGCTAGAAAAACGTGTAATGCAAGTTCAAATCTGCCGTCACAAGACCACCACGTTTCAGAAAAGTTTTCTTTAAACGAAAAGAACAGTTTTCTGACAGCAATCACTCGATGGGAACTTGCAAATTTGACTGAATCAAAATTAACAATAATTATTCAGTAATTGTCAGGATCACTCTAAACATGAATTTCCAGCCCTACCAATCATACTGATATGAAAAACAGTAATTGAGAGGTGTACAGCATACCTCTTTTCTTCATTCAACACCCAGAGTTCATCGGATGTCAGCAGCTTCCTCAAGGTTTGCGTAGAAAGCTTTGGAAGGATCTGCAAGGACAAACCGATGATTTTACATGAAATTCACCTTGTTGACAAAATATAAGCATGCGCAACTTCGTGCTTCAGCATGAGTGTATGTTCAAGCACACTCACGACCCAGTTGTGAAGAAAACTAACCTCCCGAAGCTCAACCGCTGCACCACGACAAAGATAACCCCAACATGCCTTGCGTACCCTTTCACCGTGTACTCCATAATCTTGACTTTCAGCAAACGCCTGCCACTCAGCGAGGAAGCATTAGTGATATTGGCAAATACTCTAACTATTGTCCTTCAACTATGTCAAACCAGGCAACACTGTAAACAGAAAATTAAACAGGTGCTTAACTGCTATAAGAAATAAACCTGAATCTTTTGAAGCATTTACCTGAACAAGTGCAACTTACCTGGTAAGCAAGAAAGTTCTCAGTCCAAAGCTCAGAGATAATAAAGTTTGTGCAAAGTGAGCATAAATCCTGAAAAGACAAATTCACTATTCAGATGTGGAAGTTCGAAAATTCTGAAAAAATGGGCTGCAACCCAGTGCAATCCTTAGTGCTTCTGTAGCAGACCTAGTACTGAATCTGAACACTCAAGGCCATACAATTTTCACAAGCACATCAAGAAATAGCCAATAGCAGTTGCAACATAACTTGGCTTCTGAAGCCAATTCATAAAGGTGATTAATAAGCAAGTACCAGGAGAAAGAATCCGGCACCTTTCCAAAGAAAATTAAATTTGACAGGATCATTCTGATCAAGTTACCTGAAGATCAAGGAAAGACCCAGCTGCTAGCACTCGAAAGGCATTGCTACCATCAAGCTTTGGATAGTGCCCATACAAATAGGCTAAAGCAGTTTCTACAGCTTCTCCATTCACGTTCTTATCATCTATTTGCAGCGTCACCTCAGGAGCTCCAGCCTCCCTCCAGGGACCCTGCAGCATGTTTCTGAATACACCATATCAACATATAAATAAAGGACTTTCCTTTCTCAATTACAGACGTTATATTGCACCACACGTAATGCAATAGCAATACAATTTAATGACCCTAATTTGCAAGAAATAGAAAGGCAAGAAATTAGAGCTTATTCCCAAAGTAAGGTGTCTTAAACGACGTCTTGCTTCTCCACGAACAATTATCACCCATCAACGTAGCACACAATCACGAAAGGGACAATGCAGCAAATGGTTGTAACATTAAAAGAAGTCCTTATTAGCACATCAAGCTAAGAAGCAGCTTGTTGCAGTTCATCAAACACTATGTCAGGGAATACACACAAAAGCATGTGTATCTATTATCTGCGTCAACAAAGATCTTAACCTGAAGAAGGAGCTCCGAGAGAGGAGTAAACGATGAAGCTCGAAAGTACGTCCCATTGCTTTGACGATAATGTCTGAGAAAGCTTTCGATTTCCATCCTTCCAATTGCACATGTTCACAGAGTGCCCCCATGTTGCTATCCATGCCGCGCCTGTTAGGACCGCCATCATTGTCTGTCGAGGTTGCTGGTTGCATTGAAGGCGCAAGCGATACTGAAAGAGATGCTGCATGAGAAGCGAAGGTGGAAGACTGTGAATGAGAGACTCGTTGTCTCCCACCCCCTACATGAAGAGCCTCCATGTTCGCTAAGATCCTGATTCAAACCTGATGCCTCCCCCAACTCCGCTCATGTATCGATACAACATTTCCCCATAATATCTGCAATTAACAAGCTCTCACGCCGTCATGCTAAAAGTCATACCCAAGCCTTCATCCCAGTATCCGTCATCACTCTGGGCGTCCAATTTCGATTGTGATTTCACTAAGCAAGACACACATGTTCACTCTCTGCACAAAATCACGGGGATACTTGGAATGTGTTCTCAGTAATTACTTGTGCCAAAGCCCACACCATAAAAAGCTCAATGTCGCACCAATATTGCGGTGATCGTCCAAAACTTGCAGCGACTAAATTTTGCAAGCAATTATTCGTGAAGACAAGACGTTTGATCCTTAACCCACATCCTCACTTGCCGCACATGCGCACATGAATACAACCATGTTAGACCCAAAAACTTACCGGCAAGAGTTCAATTCCTCAACAATCCCAAATCCGCATACCAAGAAGCTTATGCTCGCCATTATCAGATACATTTTCAGGAAGAAAAAAGAAAAAGAGAAAGAAGATGACCTAAAACACAAAACTCAGAACTGTCTGACGTCAAATTGAATTCGTAGTGATCGCAATACCAGAATTCCCACAACCGAAGCTTATTTTGCGTCCCTCTTGCTACAATCTCCCATCCCAACGGTCCACGATCGAAGCTCTATACCCAGACTGATGTCTCCGAAAACCTTACTTCATCCTAATCGTCCTTTACCATAACCAACCAACCCCACCTTCAACCCCCACTCGCAACCAGCTCCAATTACACAAACTCAATTTTCCCCATATTCATCAAAATTCGCCTGAAAACCCCCATGTTTCCCCAAACTCGTACTCTGCTACCCAAAAAACTCTCACGAACAATCACATACACACTCCCCCTGGACCCACATCAGATCCGACACAACGAAACACTCTAAAAAAGTATCGGTTCTCAGAACAGTCAGATACTACCCTCAAATGCCCTCATAATCGCGCATTCCGTTCCTGAGCTAGCAAACCCGACTGATTCTTCACCGAACATCCTTTCCATTCCATGGACACCAATCAATGCTCTGTCAGTCAGTCTGTCTGTCTGTCTTTCGCAAACCTCGCCACCATCCCACGTCCACCTCGACGAAATTCCTCTGGTAAAGGTCACGACCGTGACCGACCTACCAGTCCAAAAACATCGCCGGAAATTGATGGAGTACTGTAGAAAAGGGCACCGTCACCGGCGAAGACGAATCGGGCGCAGGGTGTGATCCGAAGCCGAGGAGCAGCAGATTGTTTGTACAGTGGGGTACAGAAATAATTCGAATTTTTTTCCAAAGTGAATCAGTGTTAGAAATCACTGAACTTCAAAAAGCTCCAGCAGTTTCAAAAATGAACGCATTTTTGAGCCGTAAAGTGCATTGCGAAGATAGTAGAATCTAGTTTCATGTTGTAACAATTTTTCATTATAAAATTGTGAAAATATACATCAAGAGAGCTTTTTGTTACATACTATCTACCATCTCGTACTACCACCCCCAGCTGCAATCACCGCTTGCATCCTATAAGGCATAGTGGAAATCAATGTACGAAGCCACTCTATAGATATGGTATCCCATACGGATTGAATTTTTTCTATCATTTCTAACTTACTATTAGGTCTACTATGATGTTTGAGCAAATCTTTTACAACCATCCAAACGTTCTCTATTGGATTCAAGTCCGGTGAATTGGCAGGCCAAAACAACTTTTCTATACCATGAGCACATCTCCATTCCACTGGCAATGAGTTACGGTGGACTGGAGCACCATCCTCCATCAATATCAATTGCTCAGGGTCATCATGTAAGAAATAAAAGCCAATTAATACTCCTTCATAAACAATAGTGACAAAATCACTTGATGATCTCTTATTTGAAGGAATGGTGACCAATGGAGACTTATCAAAGCTAGTAAAGGCACCCCAAACCATCACTGAACTACGCCCAGACTTAAAACTTGGTGCTATACAATCCCAATTATATTTTTCGTATGCCTTCCGCCACACTCTAATTTGCCGTGGATTTTTGCCAGTTTCGAATGACGACTCATCCGTCCAAATAATATTACACCAATCTTCAAACGTCCAACTCTCATAAGCACGTGCAAATGCAAGCCTATCTGCTTTATGTTTGACATTCAAATAGGGCTTTTTAGGTGCTATACAATTTCTAAAACCAAGCTCACGGAGGTAGAGTCGAACAGTAGTTCGGGAAACACTCACCAAGTTTGCAAGTTCTACCAGAGTATGCCTTCTATTTGAACTGACAGCACGACATAACACTCAAAAATCTCGCTCAGACAACTTCCTGGGTCTGCCACATTGTGATTTCAACGACTCCACACTTCCATGGACCTTCCAATGACTCAAGATAGTTGAAATGGTGGAATAGGGAGCACTGAAGACTTCTGCAATGTCCTTACACTTCATCCCAGCCTTCCTCATCCCCACAATCTGATTCTTCTGCATAGGGGACAATGTTCTCTACTTCATGGTGCTTGCTATAAGCCTTCAAACAACACAAACCAACTTCTAGTTTAACAGAGAGGAGTCACTGAAGCTAACGATGTCCAAAACCTAAAAAGAACACTTCTAAAATCTGTATGTGCTTCACAATCTCAATCTGTGGCAGTGCAATGTACTTCACAACTTCAGATGGATTATATAAGTCACCCCATCCAAGCATTCTATGCTATCACTCCATTTTGCTGGCTGCATGCATGCCTAATTGTAACTGTGATTTTTTAGCTCACCTAACCACTTCCACATTAATCATCACATTTGCAATTTGATTTTGAAGACACATGGCTAATTACATGTAATTAGACACCTCTTGCACTCCAAAAATAGATGGCTAAGTATCGGGGAAAGATTCCTTCCAACATGATCATAGCATTCAATTGAACAACAAGATTTTTTCAGCAAAAGTGGTGCTCTAGAAAAAAATTCGAATTATTTCTGTACCCCACTGTAGAATATACCTTCCTCCGTCCTTCACCGCCACGCTCTTCTTTACCTCTTTTTCTCTTTGTTTGATCGATGGGCTTCGTGGACATGTGGCCACGTTGGGTCCTGTGACCGCCTCTGGAAGTACCGTGCAGTTTTGACCGTGGTCTCTTGTTCTTTACAATGTCTCTCAAGGATTGTTTGTAAAATGCAGAATCGTCCCCCTTTGATATTGGGTTTCTTCAAAGTAAATCCCAATATTGGGTTTCTTCAAAGTAAATCATTAGGATGAAGTAAGGTTTTTGTAATCATAAAAAAAAAAAAAAAAAAAAAAAAAAAAAAAAAGTGCAAATTATCAACCCTGAAAGATACAAAATCTAAAATTCATAAAAAAAAAACACTTTTTTTATATTGACTTTGGGTAGATGTTTATGTTTCTATGAGTTGCATCAAAATCAAGGTAGAAGATCTATTTAAATTTTTTAATTGTATAAATTTTAAAAAAATAAAAATTTAATATATTCTTATATTATTCAAAAAAAATAGATATTCATTCAAAACTAATATAATATTGAAATTGGAATGGCTATTACCAAAGACTAAAAAACTACAAAGCCATAAAACAAGTCTAAAGATTAAAAAAGCATTGATAAGAGTGAAGAGGGCTTTACTCTTGCCTCCATATATATTACCTAACTAGGAGCAAAATAAAAACATTCTATAAGACCTCTAATAAGTGTCTAATTTGCAAGACATATGGCAATTTTTTTTATATGTGCACTACATAATTAGCTTGTACCACAAGCTATTAATACATGTAATATGTGGCTAATTTATCAGTCAAGTTTCTAATCTATCCATCAACTACAAATACATGTAAAATCATAGCCATATCAATGAGGCTTCTAAGAAGTAATTTATTAAGATCTTATCAAATTTATCTATATTAATCTACTTCTATTCATTCATATTATTAAGATAATTATTGGAGTAAATATGTATGTCCATGAAATTACCTCTTTTTTCAAGGACAAGTTCCACAAAGCATGGTAATCACATTTTGATAAAGTCCAAAATATATCAAATTGTGTTTGCAACATATTATAATTTTTATTTTCTTTAAAGATAATTCATAGATATTCTTAGCTATTAAAAATATTCCATTCTAAGGCAAGAAGATCACCTTGATATTTAATCATGATTACAACCTTTGTAACAAATTTTAAACAAACATATATAATATCATTAAGAATCATTTTTATATTTAACAAAATCACCAAACATTGGAAGTTTCTTCCAAGGTTGTGATACCAAACGTGTTGTATCTTGTCATCTATTTGAAGAAGAATATGACATTTTTATGGATCTTCATCTCTATTATGATGTCATAAAGATTGTAATAATTACAATGTTTCATTAGATAATTCAACAAACAATAGCTCTTCAGTTGAATTTGATGGTTATTGATTTTTCATCTCTTAATTATTAAAAATATACAGAAATTGTAAATAAAAATAAAAATAAAAAGTAGAATATAATCTTTTTTTGACCTTATTTATTTTATAATAAAGATTTGTTATTCTTTATCTTGGTTTTGATGAATGATGTTGATGAAAAACATCAACCTTCTTTGTTGTATTCATAAGATTTTTTGCTAGCTTCCATATGCATTCACTAATATCATATTTGTGCCACTGAATAAGATATTTTAACCTATTTTGGTGCCACCTTGAATCTAGGACTTCTTTAATCTCAAATTCTTTATTATTATCTTTTTTATAAGAGGAAGTGGCATTTGTCTTCTTTTTGATATATCTATTATCTTATATGGTTCAAAGAGAAATATATAAAACATGAGATAGATCTTCATATACTTTGATAAGTACAATAGATAAATAATTAGATTAATTTATTTGTAAATAAGAAATGACTCAAGTCTATAGTAATTCAACTTGTCAAGAGGACAAATAGTCTTTATATTATGATAAAGTAACCATATTTTTTTATCAATATAGAATTGAATTTGTTCTTTATGATACACATATCCATTGATCTTTTGTCATTATTAAGCTTCTTTTAATTATTTCTTTATTATTACATGTAGCTCTAATAAATAATTTGCCAAATCTTTTGCAATAGGATTATCAACTTTTGAAAATTCAAAGGTATTAAGTTGTGAATGATAATTAGAATTATAAAAATGTATATATTTTTATTTATTTATTTATTTATTAGAAAAATATAATATATTATTATAAACAAACTCTGCTAATGGCAAAAGAATTATCAAATCATCTTATTGATAATTAATGTTATATCTCAAATTCTACTCTAAAATTTGATTCATTTACTCTATTTGTCTATTAATTTGAAATTAAAAGCCAAAGATAGTTTTATATCTACCTTTAGAATCTTGAAAAGAATTCTCTAAAACCTTGATACAAATTGAATTCCTCTATTAGATATAATATCCTTTCATAATCTATGATAGCAATAAATATTATTAAAAAAATATTTAATTATTTTTTCACTTGTGATAGATACTATACAAGATAAAAAAAATGTGTCATCTTAATAAAATAATTTATTATCACAAATATAAAATCATTAAAACTTGAGACTAGAAGTTTTGTGATAAAGTCCATTGAAATGGAAGACTATGGTTATTTTGAAATAAAGCATGGCTGAAAAAATCCATAATGTTGATGATGAAGAATTTTTGATCTTAAACAAATATTACATGATTTTACAAAATCTTTGATTACTTTTTACATTTGGAGCCACTAAAAACTATCATTCATTAGATGTTGAAACAAAGTTAGTACATTTATAAGTCCAAAAGCTATGACATTATATTTTAAATGCCTATTTTTGGTTTAAAATATTTTTTTTATTTATCTCTTTTTTTGATATATACTAGATTATATATTCTTTTAAGATCTATTTTTATATAGATCTTTTTTTAATTGAGTTAATCGAGAAGTCTTGAAATCAAAGGTAGAAGATACCTATTTTTTATGGTAATCTTATTCGATCTTTGATAGTCAATACTTATCTCTAAATATTTTTCTTTTTTTTCTTCATAAATAAAATAAGAACTCCTATTAGAGATTTATAATGGCATATGAAGTTTTTAGCTAAATTTTAATCAATATACTCCTTGAAGGCAACCAACTTGTTTTGTAATAAATTATAGATTGGTTTGAATGGTAGTTGAGCTT